CCTATTTAAGCAGCTGTCAGACGGCAAGAGTTGTCTTTGTTGCCGCTACGCGGAATTGCCTTGTTCTTATTAGCAATATGTGTTAGCAATAAAGTTGGTGTTCACAGCAGCCAAGCCTCCATCTTTGTCAGCCCGCTAGTCACAACAATTTGTGTCCTCCTCCTGCTTGTAAAAAAGTTGGTCACCTTAGTGACAACAATGTGACAACGTGAGTTTGACACCCCTGCTCCTCACTGACTATAAAAAGTGGATTATTATTCTCTGAAGAATTTGGGTGCTGATGATAAAAGGGGTTCCTTTGGTTAGTTAGGGTTTTTGCAAGGAGTTTGGTGTTTGATTTATTAGACAATAAAATGTGAGTAAAAAAATAAAACTCTAGTTCCTATGAGAATATTTTACTGACCCATATCATATCTGTAAGTAAAGTAAATCATTTCCCAGCCTGACTTTTTAAGGTGGAACAATTTATATTCATACTCTTTCTTCCAAGTACAAATGCAAAATTCATACTAACATGGCTATAAGAAAGAGTTCTTCATTTTCAGTCATTTACTGTATACTTTTAAAACCATCATGTGTTTTATTTCTACTTTTTGATTAGAGAAAACAAACAGCAATGGAGAAATTAATGTTATATAAAATTGCAAATTTTTATGGAGCTGCCCATCAAGATTTCATCTGAATGCTGGAGCATAGAAATCAGTGATATAATCAGTGACTGAATCCCAGCATTTCTAAAATGTTATCTTAGTAGGATAAATAGGATCAATAAAAAAGAAGTACTTCTTTGTGCAATATATATTTAAATTTTGGAAATTGTTTCCATTAGACAAGATGATAAGCACCAGTTTAAACAGGTTTAAAAGAGATTGGAGAAATGGACTACACCCATTTTAATCACAGGAAACTTATTTTAAATGGTAGAGTAAAAAAGTATAAAAAAACATTGTCCCCTCAGTTCATGTATGTGACCTTCCCATGAACATTTCTGATTGGCTGCTGTGTGACACAGAATGCTGTTCAAATTTAACTTTGACCATTATAATTTTTTATGAGGTGCTATTTATAAGTGTCTGTTGGGTGCCAGTTGAGGGGATCCTGGTTAGGATATTTACCATAAAAGAGATGGAAAAAGTATTTACAATATCTTAAATTCATCCAAAAGCAGCAGTTTGGGGTTTGGTGAATGGATATAAAAATTCAGCCACAAAGAGATTACCTAAGCTTTTAATATTGCTTGGTTCAAGATCCACCAACTCTTTTCTTATAAAGGAAAAGCAGTAGCAATTGAAAGAGCAACAGTACCCCATTTCCTCCATTCCTTAGACACTTGAGACAAATCTTCTATCTTAAGGAAAGTGAAGTTTCAACAACTAAGATATATCTTCTTATTATAGCTTTATAGAGTAGAAGGTATCAAGGAAAATGTCCTTTGATGACTGCTGGTGAGTCAAACTTGTTAATAAAAGAGAAATATTGGAATTTAGACTCAAAAACTACTAAAGGAGCTATTTTCTTTATTTTCTTCTCCCTCTCTGCCTTCCAAGTGAAGCAATTGAAGAGGAGAAATAAATGTTAATATGATTCCTTTGATATCAATGGAATAACACTCAGTGGTACGTTTTATTCAATCAGCTTTAAGCGTTACTTGAGACAAGAACATATTAGATAATACATATAAGTATAAGCATGAATTGAATACATAAAATAGATACAAATAGAGGAAACATTAGGACAGGGACAGTAGACATGCTGGTGCTCTTATGCACGCCCCTTACAGACCTCTTAGGAATGGGTGAGGTCAACAGTAGACAGTCTTAGGTTAAAATTTTGGGGGGTTTGGGATGAAACCACAGAGTTAGATAGCGTATTCCAGGCATTGACCACTCTGTTGCTGAAGTCATATTTTCTGTAATCAAGTTTGGAGTGGCTCTATTGTATGCTCGTGTATTGTTGTGGTTGAAGCTGAAGTAGTCATTGACAGGTAGGACATTGTAGCAGATAATTTTATGAGCTACACTTAGGTCATACCGAAGACAGTGTAGTTCTAAGTTTTCTAGGTCCAGAATTTCAAATCTGGTGGCATAAGATATTTTGTTGTGAGCAGAGGAGTGGAGGACTCTTCTTGTGAAATATTTCTGGACACGTTCAATTGTATTAATGTCTGATATGCAGTGCGGGTTCCAGACAGATGAGCTATATTCGAGAATTGGTCTAGCAAATGTTTTGTATGCTCCGGTTAGCAGTGTGATATATTACCAGAGAAGAAGCTACGCAAGAGGTTTACAACTCTTAATGCTTTTTTTGCGATGTTATTACAGTGGGCTTTGGCAATTAGATCATTAGATATGAGTACTCCAAAGTCCTTGACAGAGTGAGGATTATCTACAAGGTCATGTCCACCCAGCTTGCATTTTGTGTTCTGATTCTTTTTGCCAATGTGTAAGACAGAGCATTTGTTGGTTGAGATTTGGAGTTGCCAATTGTTTGACTATTCCGACACAAAGTCAAGGTCTTTTTGAAGGGTAGCAGCATTGTCAGTGGTATTAAATATTTTTACATCATTGGCGAAGAGAACACAGTTGCTTATAATATGATCACAAAGATCATTTATGTATAGTATGAAGAGTGTTGGTCCTAGAATATAATTAGGAATATATGGTAAATTGCAATAAAATATAATGAAAAAAACATTAAAAAAAGAAAACAAATAAATTAATTAATAGTGTCAAATTTTACAAATCAGTTTATGGACACAAGGCCTATCTGAATGAAAACTTCATTGCTTATTATTAGGAACTAAAGATAGAATAAAGAAATCCAAAAGCTGATGTTAACCATACAAAGTTCGTCTGTTGGTTTTCAATATATGCAGAGTAAAAAGGACATCTCTCAAAGATTTTAAAATCCAGGCATACATAGATAGTAAAGTGCAGTTCATCATACAGCTCAGTCCCCAATTGTGTAGGGCTTTAAATATCACATTAGCACCTTGAGAAGTGGATCAGTAGTATTTGAAGCTGTTACGTTATGAATATTACATGTCCATTATAATGTCCATTATTTGTACCACATTTATTATTGGCTTTATAAAGGCCTAGCAAAAGGTCAACAGAAAAACTATTTAAAAACATCAAAAAGATTTGGTCTTATATTGTTCTGGAGCAACAGAGTATTTGAAGGACTACTTCTCCAATGTATACTTACTGTCAATTGAAGGCAGTTTCAAGATACTTAAAGAGTTAGCTGAATGGTTTTTGTAAATAAGTCTTTTTCTGCGGTGTTTCCCATCACATTGGGATTTCCCTTTAACAAAACACTTGAAGGCTAGTAATGAAATATTTGTATGAAGAAAACCAAGCTCAGAGAATATACCAAGAACTCAATAAAACTTACCCTTGAACTTCTAATAGGATTGTATTCCTTGTTCACTGTTTTAATTTAAAGGAATAAGTAGTTAAGTTGCTTTGGCACTGCTCCTGTGATTATTTTCTCCTAGGAATATTTAGGGTTATGATTGTACTTTTAAAACAAAACTGTAGAGCTATTTATTGGTGTATTAAAGTGAAAAATAGGATACCATTCCTCTAAATTAATAAAGGATCCTGATAATAGAATGAAGGAAATGAATTAACTGTCTCAAGCATGCCAAAAATAGTGGCAAATTGCTAATTTGTTGTAGTTGAAGTTTTGCTTCTTGGGAAAAACTGTTTTTGAGATTTTCTGTCTAAATAGTCCAACACTGTAATCAGTCTTGACTGCTATGTACTTGATATATATGGGCCATTTGTGAAACAGTAAAATTTCATAATGTTCAGCAATTATGTTAGCTATTATATGAATATAATTAATCAAACTAGGATTTATGATAGTAGGAGGCTCTGTTGTTGTGAAACCTGGCAAATGTGTAAATATGCAGCTGTAGAGGGAATAGGGAATAGCCTTCAAGGACAGGAGGAAGATCTACTAACAATTCAGAGAAGTGCAGCTTGAGTCCATTCTAAGAAACGAATTTGAGTAAATGTCTCGGAGCTCCCTAATTCACACAAAGATAAGTGAGGGAGGCGGAATCACATTCAGAATTGTAAGATTCTGTTGTTGTACAGCACAGTAACTGAGTAGTACTGTGTTTTCCCAAAAATAAGACTCTGTCTTATATTTTTTTGAACCCTGAAATAAGCGCTTGGCCTTATTGCCATATGCTCAAAAGCCTGATTGGGCTTATTATCAGGGGATGTCTTAATTTTGAGGGAAACAAGATAGTTCTAGTTCTACGTGGCATTGGTTTCTTTGTCTGGTATACCTTATAGGGCTAAGTATGTTGTGGTGAGTAGTCCATAAGGCTATAAACAGTACCTTATAGAGCTAAGTACTTTGTAGAAGTTAGTTGCAAGTAAAAATATAGCAATAGTGGCATTACTCTATCAATCAAACATCTATAATTATGAGAAATGGTGAGGCAGCTACTCTAACCAACAATGAATTGTTTTTGAAATGAATTTTGAATTGTTAAAGAATAAAACAGTTATTTGCCCAGTTCATATTTAAGGCAAAATATTCCTGAAATTCTTCAAATTTACTTGCCTATGGGACCATCCTTAATTAATTTAGTGAATGTCTCCATTAAAGTGCGAAAATAATGTTCAACTAAGAGGAAATCAGAATTAAAGTATAAAAACTTATATCCTTTCTAATGCATTAAATACAAGTAGGCTACCCATAATTTACCTCATATACTTTGATTATACTGATTCTGTCACTGAGGCTTACAGTGAGCAAAATATGTTACAGAAAGCAGTAAATGCTACTTTCTTTTTAATTATTTGCTATTTTTACAAGTGAAATGAAATGGCAAATGATCACAATTTGTTTCACTGTTGTGATAAATGATTTTTCTTTAATTCCAGCCACATTTAATTAATGTATGAAAAGTAATAGGCTTTAATATATAGGTACAAGCTTCTCAAATGAATTACATCCACTGAATTATTAATTCACAGAAATAGCAACAAAACATTGTGATAAGACAGGAACATGGTTTCGGCATCCAGAAACCAATCGAACCTGGTCCAATTACACACGCTGCAATTCTTTTACCAATGAGAAGCGTAAGGTAAGTTGTTTAAATTTTAGAAGAGTTTCTGATAATGCCTAACTTTTATCCATCTGAGGTTTTTTTTTCTATATTAATCATGGATGCAGTGTAGAGAGATTAATACATATTAATCATGGATGCAGTGTAGAAAGATTTGTCTGTCTTTCAGCCATGTTTAATTGTTCCACAGGAAATCAATGTCCAACTCACAGGTTTTATACAAAAACTCCTAATATAACACCAAGGCCTATAGTTCTGTATCCCTGGTGGCTATTGTTTAAAATTGAATGAATTTACATATTATGAACTGTAGATTCCCAAGGCAATTTTTCTTTCTCTTTTTTTTTTTCTCTATTGTTGTCCTTGATAGAAAGGAAAGCAGTTTTGCCAAAGTGCTGACCCCATTTGGGCCAGCAATGAACTTTAGAGAGAAATGAACAGACTTCACTCCACTCAAAAATTGATAAAATGTCAAATTTCCACTGGCCTTCACTAAAGTTAGGTGTATTGACTTGGCTTTAATGAACACAAAAAGGGTGGCATTATAATCCGTATGAGATTTTAAAGGCTGGTTAAAATGTCTGAGCACATTCCCTTTACATGGTTGATGGGTACAATCGGAATGATGCCTGACTTTCATCTCAATTAGAAAGAGGTATCTGAAAGCATTCTTTATATGAAGAGATAAGTAAATGATCATTGAACTTTGCAAGGAAGAGAATGCATAAAGTTTGTATATGTTATAAAAATGGGTGGGTATATTTTACATCTTTCCTTGTATTCTTTCTTTTTTTTTTAAGGTGACCTGGATTTGAATTTCCATTTTTTAAAAAAATATTAAGCCATTTTTGCATGTGGCATTTAGACTGAACCATGCCTTACTTATTACATTGTAATCTGGGAAAAGCCTAATTAGATTTATATAAGATATTCTGTAAAATGCTGAGGACACTTTCTGACCTTTCGTTATAAGAAATAATTCTCAAAGTTTTATGTAAATCTTTATGGAGTTGACTTTTATATGGCCAATTACAGAAGCTTGTCATAATACCTATTAAAAAGATAGTTCATGAGGGAAAATCTTGCCATAATGAACCCTATATGCAAGGGGGGAGGGAGGAGAAATAATGTAGAGCAGAACACAGGTTACTTTGATATGGTTTTGAACAGATGGACTATGTTTGGGCAGCTCATAGCAGCACCATGAACAAAGATTATGAAAACAAGAAATCAAATAGAACACACGAAAAAAATCTATGGTAGTCAAATGAACAAAGGACATTAATTATATATCTATGTGAATATATGTATGCATATATAAAATAGTACTGTTTATAATGTGACTTTGTAAATGTGAACACAATTTAATTCATTTTTAGAGTTAGTTCCATGTATCTAAAATGAAGTAAAGGATATTCCAAAGTTTGCGGTCATTGTTACTACTATTTGTATCCCACAATAATTTCTAAACTATTTCTAAACTATCTTCATTTTTTATTTAGTCTTTCTTTTTAAATTTCAGATGGTTTTCATAGTTTATTACATGACTATAGTAGGACATGTATTGTCTATGATTTCCCTGTTGATTTCCTTGGGAATTTTCTTCCATTTCAAGTGAGTACATCCTTCAACTATTTATTTATTCTTACTGCAGTATGTGCAAGAGTTATAGAAGTATTTCTTTGACTCATATAGTTCAGTCATTTGCTTACTGGCCACATTGGCTTACAAATGATTTTTATCTATGTGCCATGTGTGCCAATTCTCTATAATAGAAGTACCATGTATTCTTGGAGTCATATGCATTTGTTTAAGGCAAAATGCAGATTCTAAGTGTTCCTCTGTATCCTAAGAGTGTGTGTACAAAAATAGAATACAAAGAATGATTAGACACAATCAAATGTGGCAAACATTAAATTAGGGCCTTACATAACATTTTGGGAAGAGTTGATGATGGCAAACGAAGTGGTTGTCGTCATCTGTAAAGGAAGGGATGGAGTTTGGGGTTGGTTTAAGATTCTTCAACATAAAATGAACATGAACTCAGTGGGAAGAATTTTTATACGTATAAAGAAAATTAAAAGGTTAAAAGGGGTTGGTAACATTTTCACATTGCTGGAGCTACTATGCACTATCACTTTAGCATATGCATCTCCTCAAATTATCCAAAACTCATGAGACATCACTCAGATTGCAAGATCTGACATTATTTTAACAGATCACCAACATATTATGCAAGATTATCAAATGCTCGTAGGATTTCTGAATCTATTCTTGATATGTCAGTGATACTGCAGTTTCGGGGTGGAGGAGGTAGATGATCTGATAATGCTTCTCATACCAAGAATAATTGTGTAATTGGTTATTATCATAGTGGAAGGAACCAGTCTGTGTGATTTCCCCTCAATATTGCTGCTATTTTTTATTCTATTATTAGCAAGCAAGAATAGTTTCCAAATTTCGTGGGAGCCTCAATTATTTAAACTAACTATAAAGAAGTCTAGAATGAACTAGCCATGTTAGGTATATGAACAAGTCAGTGGCATATGAAATTCAATATATAGTTATATAACCTTTATTCAATAAAGGGAAAAGTCTAATCAGACTGTTTCAAAGTTGTTCAGTGGGCTTAGTGATTTATTTGTGAGTAATTCTAGAGGAAAAATGGCATAGTAATTTTCTTGATTCAGTTGACTTTAATAAAGCAGAAAGAATGTCTTAGAGTTTGGGAACCAAAAAGAAATCACAACCATGCAAGGAATGAAATTAAATATCCCTAACATCAGAAAAATTCCAGATCAAAATTTCTTACTCAGCTGATAACTCATTCTGAAAGCATTTTGTAATTTTAATATAATGCTCCAAAGAATCTGCCTATATGGGGGCTGTTTTTATTTATTTATTAGATAAAATATATTAAATATAATTAAATATATCTTATTATCAAAGTAATTTTGTGAATTTTTCTGCCACTTGATCATGTACATGAGAAGTCCCCTAACTGCGATTGAGAAAGCGTGTAGTATGTAAGCAGTTGTAAGAGGGAGAGAATTTTTTTCTCATGACTTCACTGCCCCCCGTATTTTTTTCTGACTGCCTGTGTCAGATTGCATATTTAAGAAAGAATTGCCAACATGTTCTTGTTATAAAAGCAACCTCAGAATCAACTCTAATAATTTCTAATTTATACTATATTTGTGGTGCATGTTTTTCAGGAGCCTCAGCTGTCAAAGGATAACACTGCATAAGAATCTATTTTGCTCATATGTTCTTAACTCTGTGTTTACACTTGCCCACCTCATTGCAGTAGTGCCTGACCGAGAGCTGGTCCAAAAAGATCCAGTAAGTAATTTGTTATACTTCATCTTGAACTTAAAACATTGAAAGTTAAAAGACCTTCCTGCCTTATTGCCACAGGATGTAAAAAAAAAAAGTTGTCACCTATTTTGATAATGCAGTATTGGAAGAATATTTTTTAAAAGTATCAAATCAAGTTTATTTCATCCCAATTAAATCCTGATACTGGCTAGAAATTTTAAACTTTTATAAATAGTAGGCCAGAAATTTTGGCTTAGTAAGCCATATTGTGTATGTGTACTACTGCATGAAATCCATATTCCTGTTTCACTCTTTGCTTAGATTTATGTTAAGTCCATGTTCAGAATTATGATTTATTATCCTCCATATCTAATTCAGAACTGATTTTCATTTATTGACCTGTTTGAACACAGTATGTCATAATCTTGAGTTTGGGCATAACAAAGCTACTTCCTTCCTCCTTTGCATAATTGCGCACAGTAGAAATTTAGAGTACTAGCATACAGCAACATGCTAGATGATTGCTTATTAAGCCAGGATTCTTGGCTTAAAATTATATACAGCTTTATGATGGAATGTGTCTCCACTTCATTATAATGAAAAGGTTGGCTTCAGGACACATTGCACTGGAAAAGTTAGGTTTTCAACCTTACTCTGCTTTGATCTTCATCCAACTCTCTAAGTAATCCACATAAATACAATATAAGAGCAAGGAAAAGATAGTAAAGAAACTCAGAATTAGTAGAAGAAGCCATTATTTATTTGATCTACAACATTCTAATTAAGAAGCCAATTTTTTTAAAAAAAGATTTAGTATAATTGCGAACATAGTGAAATAGCTGTCTCAAATACCATTTGACAATTCAATTACTTGAAACTTTTGTGAGAAAATAGCATCAATAGATCAAATATAGATCTAGAATTGTATAATCTAATCTGCTGTATGATATTAAATGTAGGAAAGAAACCATAACTGGAGTGCTCTAGCATTCTCATGAGTCCAAGTTCAAATCTTAGCATCTTTAATTAAAAGTTGTAGATAATATATAATATGAAATGCCTATTTTATGTCTGGAGAGATATAAAATTGACTGGTTTTTGACCTGAGAACCAGCTAGTTCTTAAACTCAAACTAAAAAGTCAGGGTTAGAGGAAAATCCAGGAGTATATAGTATCTACTTTCAACCATAAAAGCTTACTACATGATTTCAAGTGACTCATTACCTCTCAGCCTATCATTTTTGTTTTCAAGATGGATGTTGCAGGAATAGTTTTGGTGGGTTATTGATGGTGGGGCTGGGAAGAGGATCTGATAAATAAATAACCCACAGTAGGACCACATATCTCCACTAGAATTGGACTACCTGATTGTACCAGCAGCTTGTTGTCCTCCACTTTCAGGAGGTCAGAGGGACCAAAGCTGGAAGCACTGTTGTTTTGTAATGGGCTGGTTCTCTAGAATAGTGTCCTGTGGGATATATATTGGCCTCATGCCAGTTGTCTTCCAGAAGCCATGAATATGAAGCTTTTCCAGAGGACATTTGGAGGTTGACACCAGATACTATTTTAGCCTATGGGGTGTTTTTTTTCCTGTTTTTTTATTACATGTGGTTCTCAGTTTACAATTACATACCAGATCTGATTTTACAACCATTTTTTACCATAGTCATTAAACAAATCTGGCTTTCCCAATTGACTAAGCTTGTCAGAGGCCAGCTGGGAAAATTGTAAATCACAATGACATGATTGTGAGTCACTGTAACCATTGTAAATCTAAGCTGGTTGCAAGTGTTCAAATTGGAGTCATGTGACCATCGGTATGACTTTTGTAAATCAGGTTGTAAGTCAAGGCCATCATAACTTTGAACCATCATCAAGTGAACAGTTGTAAGTCGAGGATTACTTGCACTGGGCATTGTTTGTTTCATATTATGACCAGCAAAGAGTCTATTTATAATTGAGATGAGATATGAATTCAGTCAGCTTCCCACAGCTCCTAGAGAAAAAGCAGGAAATAAATTTAAGAAGTAAATATACTCTGCCAGATCCTCCTGTAAAAAAATTTCTGTCATTATTTGAGACTCTCTTTTTTTCAATTAATCTTTAAAAAAAGCAGCATGGAAAAGGTAATTAATTTATTTATATTTACATGGAAATTTATGATAGAAATTACATGTAAACATTCATAGTAAATGGAGGTAAAAGTATAATTAATAACTTACTATAATTTAAGTCAGACAAAAATTGTATATAAATATCTGAGAATGATTGCCAAATGAGAAAGAGTTACTGTATGATTTATGGAACAAAAGGGGGAAAAATGCCTTTTGTATTACAGTAATTCAATAACAAAAATACACGCTTTTTGCCCCAAAGATAAACATTCACATTTTTCAAGCAAAATTCAGGGTTAAATTTTTGTTACTTTGTTTTATTTTTCTTGATATTCCCTCACAAATGTCACTGTGAACATATGCATAATCATGTACAGTAGAGTTGCATATGGTACAATAAAAACCTATCAAAAATAAGCTGGAAAACTAAGCCTGATCTGTCTTTATTGATGACTGAACAGTCATCATTAAAACTGAATATCCTAAAGATATTTGTAGTTTCCAAAGTATAATATCTGTATAAACATTTCAAGTACCTGAATAATTTAGATAGACTTTCTATTTTAAGAAACCTTCTTTTATAGCACTAAGATGCATGGCCTATTATCTCCTGAAAAGTATCAAGTACATATATTCATCATGAAATAGACATATTCAGACTTTCTCCAATGAAAGGTAGAATATCATCATTAAGTCTTAACAGATCAGACAGAATAAACTGACTCCCAAGTAATGCTATTTTCAGTTGGATTTTATTTAGAGACGGGTTGCAAATAAGGATGAACAATAGATCAAATATATAATATCATTTGGTTCCAGAATTCCAGAATCCATCCAGAATTAAATTACATTCTAGTTTGGCTAAATCTTTACTGAATTTTAATCATCTGTTAAAATGATACACAATTGGCATAAATAATAACAGAATAGGATTTCTGTATATTTTTGTTCAGAAATAATTTTTATGATTATTTAACATGCTGTTTATTGAAATGGGCAAATGGAATGAATATAAAATGATGCTTATGTTGGCAGAGGTTGGCAGATTTCTGAAATGTCTTTGTGACATTTATGTAGGGTTTAGAAACTTAAGAATTGAAGGGAATAAGGATGCATGATTTATAAGTTAACCTCATCTAAATGTAATCTTTCCCAAAAGTAGAAATAATAGCATTAACTTTTTAATTTATTTTATAAAAGTAGTTTCAAAATCTGATAAAAATTTAATATTTAAATTATCTAGTATCTTTCAAAATTAACCTAATATCAATTAGCTGTTTTATTTTTTTACCTGTTACTGTTAAGTTCTATTTTTTCAGCTTTGTTTCTTTTCACCTTATACACCTCTATGGTCAGTACATTTTATTTATTTATAATTAGACTTCTATACCGCCCTTCTCCCGAAGGACTCGTGTGAGACATTTCGCTTCTCTTTGTGCCAGTTTGGTATAATCTGTAAAGTAATATTAATTTCTGTGAATTATAGGTATGTAATTGGTGAATTCTAAAAAAAACATCAGGTTCCTGATGATGCATACAGAACCCCAGAATATATAGACTGGATGTTAACACCCACTGAGCCAGCAAAATCCTTTGTGAAGATTTATGGCCTCTGCAGGAGAGACCTCAATTTATAATCACTTCTCATAGAGCCTCACCCAAATTATTTACCTTTATATATTAGACATGCACATTTTTTTCTGGATTAAAATAAGGCCTTTGAATGGAATGCTGGAGGCCACGATATACATAGTGATATGACTGGACAAAAACTAAATCTGATTTTGTTTCATTAAATAAGGAATTTAGTATCTTACACTTATCTTACATTAACATTTGCAATTTGGTAATAGGTTCAAGATTCTTCTAACTGAAGACTGTTAGGGTTCACAGAAAGTTTTGGAACATCAGGTAGTACGTCTCTTTTCACTTTCATATCTGGTTTTTCTAAAAGCAGAGAAACAAGGAAATTAATGGAGGAGGAAGAGGAAGAGCAGGCTAGGAGAAGAAAAAGGAGAAGGAGAAGGAGTTGTATGGTGGGATGCAACTACTACAGTTATAGTTTTAAATCAAAGCCTCCAACATAAATTAAGTCAGAATTGATCTGTTAGTACAGAATACCAAACAATCTGTTTTGAAAGATTTCTTGTTGTGACAACATCTGTCAAGAGTCAAATGAGTATGCATAAGTATGCTTTTGCTTTTCATATTTTTTATATGGGAAACTTAATTTCTTTTCTAGGGTAATCCTTTTCTTTGCTCCTGGCTCTTCTCATAAAATAATCCCTATGGGCAAGCAATTTCCATCAGGGAAAGGACCTAGATTTCAGATTTCCCTACATATAACACAGTTATATTTCATTAGAAAAAAAAAAGATAAAGGAGTCTTTGAAGATTTTATTTTGCTAGTTGGTGCTGACTATAGGGAGAGATCAGTGGTGGGATTCAAAATTTTTTTACTACCGGTTCTGTGGGCGTGGCTTGGTGGGCGTGGCAGGGGAAGGATACTGTAAAATCTCCATTCCTTCCCCACTCCGGAGAAGATTACTTCAAAATCCCCATTTCCTCCCAATCAGCTGGGACTCAGGAGACAGAGCATAGATGTGGGCGCGGCCAGTCAGAGGTGGCATTTACCAGTTCTCTGAACTACTCAAAACTTCCGCTACCGGTTGTCCAGAACTAGTCATACTAGTTTCCTTCTTTCTCTCCGACCGGTCGCAGTCTGTGTTGACAGGGGGACAGAGGTCGACCCCAAGGCCCCTCATATGTGGGGTGCCACAAGGATCGGTCCTCTCGCCCCTTTTGTTCAACATTTATGTAAAGCCGAATGGGCGAGATCATCCGTGGTTTCGGGGTGAAGTACCACCAGTACGCTGATAACACCCAGCTGTACATCTCCACCCCGGACCA